TTCCTGCATTTTATTGGTTGGTATTTTTTATATCATTGTAATTGATATTTCAGATGTAGAAATTAACTTTTTTTTCCAGAATGACTTTTTTTTTTTGGCTTTTGATTATAATGCATTTTTTTTATAAATTTTCTGAAAGCATTTTTGTCTCGTGCTTTCTTTTTTTTCTTGCATCTTGTCATAATTTTTGCACCTATATATTTTTGATGTATGGAATTAATTGTATGAATTAATTTCATGAAAATAGAGTACACACAGACACACACACACACACACACACACACACACAGATGGAAGAAATGTGCAATTGTAATCAATCGCACTATAAGGTAAATCAATTATAAAATATTGCTACCCCCCCATAAAAACATAGCCACATATTTTAAAAACAGCCACATTTTTTTTTTTTTGTTTTTTTTTTTTTATTCGCCGGTATTCTCCCGGCCCGGGTCTTTTCCAAGTAGTGGTGACCCGGCCTTGGCTCCCTATCTGGGGAGTGTCTCGAGACTTAAGTCTCCCATGGGAGGAGGTACAAGTACCCCCTCATCATTGGGACCAAGTGTCCCCAGGCCTAGCCACATTCCCCGCCCTCACGGGGCTCGTAGGGAGAAGCTAGGCCTCTGGTCTGCCATCTGCCCCGCCCCAAAGGGGCTCGTGGGGATGGCAGTCTTATGAGCTGCAGGTGATAGCAAGCTCAGGCAGCCACATATTTTAAAAACATAGCCACATATATTAAAAACATAGCCACATATATTAAAAACATAGCCACATATATTAAAAACATAGCCACATATATTAAAAACATAGCTACATATATTAAAAACATCGCCACATATATAAAAAAAAAAGGCGTTGTAAACAACTATAACTTTTGAAAAAATGAAGAGAAACAAAGGAAATTAGTTTTGGATTTAATGAAGAGGAAATTTGATATACAAAATAATAGAAACAAAGAGGAAGCGAGACATATTAGTAGGACCAAAAGGCCTATAAAATATTTTAGCTACAGTGAACAAGTAGCGGGTTACAGGATGGCCAAGTTTGAGGTAGTTAAAAGTTAGGCTGATCAAAAGATGGCTGAGTCAGTATCAAAGAAACCTTAGAAAAGACCGAAGAAATAATTGAGGAAAAAAGATAAAGGAGGAGAAAAAGAATATTTGTTCTCAACTTCAGTGTTTTGTCTTATTTAACCTAATAAGGGAGAAATTACGTCATTGAACCGGGGTTGAAAAATTAGACTAAAATCACGTAATACCTTCCTGGAAAACTACTCTTTTATATACATTATATATGCCAGTGTAACTGAAACATTATTCTGTCTTAATTCTTAATGGGGTGGACCGGTAAGCCAGCGGAAGGCCTCGGTCAGATGACCAAAAGCTCCAGCTGCAGGTCATCGTATAAATAAGACCCACGTCAGGAAACACTTGTCCTGGTTCCTGACAAACTTTACATAACCTAACTGAGGAAATCTGTAAGCTTCTAGAACTAAAAGATACTACAGAACAAAATTTCATGGATCTAACAAACTAAATCGCAGTCAAATACATTCATCATTTTCCTCTGAAGAATAAGGTCACAATACTGGCCGGAATAATTCACAAGGAACCCACACTTAGGTGAAACACCTTGTGATGGCGTGTCTGAGTAATTACCTTCTTCATAGAAACTGTCCAGTGAAGAAATGGAACAAAATTCGAAAAAAAGATGAGGGAATAGTAATTTTTTCGAGACTATCTTCAGATAATTCAGCTGATTTTCGAAATAGAAACAAAATATAAAAAAAATTATGGTTACAATCCGCACTCCTGGCGTCGTCCCACATGTGGGAATCCTTCTACAACTCCCTGATAAAATCCCAAGAAAATCAGAAAAAAATAAAAGATCTGGTGGTAATTTACAAACGAAAGATCACCGTAAAAAAAAATGATATAGCAGTAAAAAAAAGATATAGCAGTAAAAAAAAATAATTTGCTGTTGTTCTGTCAAATTTCAAAGTTATTTTCATATAAATTAAGGTAATTGTAAAATTATTTACACTATTCGTTAGACCAAAATCTGAATATGAAACTGATTTATGGTGTCCATATAATTCCTCCAAAATTAGCTGAATCAGAAAAAAAAATCAAAGTCATGCTAATATTTTTTGACGTAAGCTACTGCCATGATCACTAGTTTTCAGCTCCTGTGCTGACATGATTATTAGTTCACAGCTATGGTCACCAATTTTCTGCATTCCGAACAATATGGAGCAATGCCCCTCACCACAGTGTTTGATCTTATCTGATGCTTCCTTGTAATCTCTCTTGGGTTGTTTACGTACCGAACTGTAAATGCTATACATTACCGACAAGTTTATAAAACACATGTGCAACACTAGGAATCTTCATTGACGAAATGTTTCGCCTGTGCTGTAGGCTGTATCAGTCGAATTCAGAAATGAATAACACTCCTGGAGATATCAGTGTTGGTGGAAATCGGAGAGACTTAATACTTTTCAAGCTTTCCAACTACTTCGCCAACTTCGTTTTCCAACAACGATGATGTCTAAAGGAGTGCGAGTCATCTATTCGACTGATGAAGCCTCCAGTGCAATCTAAGCGTTTCGTCAAAATGATTGCTGGTGTTGCATATGTGTCTAGCATATCATCGATTTCGTGATTACCTCCCATTTCTCAAGCATTATATAATAAAGTTGGTAGAATTACCGACAATATGTAACGTAAAAGGACACAAGTGCAACTACTGTTTGTAACGGCTTGACAAAGCTCCTGGAGAGCGAAACGTTGCCACAATAAAATGTCACATTAGTTGCACTTGTGTCCTTTTATTTTACAAGCATTATATAACTTTCAGATTAAAAGAAGAAAAAAAAGGCATATTTAAAAATGTAAGCAGGATGGTGATGTTTTCTCGACAGAAAACAGGAAAGCGCCTCTTGACGTGGGTTTAAGCATCCGCTGGCGTACCAAAGGTGGCATCCCATCCCATTTAAAACACAGAGGATCATCAAACATTGCCATACCATAATTATTTAGAACTAATAATAAAAAAATAACAAATGTGGGTTTTATGAATCAGCATAAATTATGAAGAAAGCTTGATGAGATTCAAAATTATGTTTTTAGTAGACAGAAGAAAAGTAAATACTCTAATAACCAAACAGATAATGAAGATTTTTTTTAGTAAAAGCAATAGGGAAAATAAGAAGCCAATAATGCAGAATTCGAAAAAGCTGTGCATAAATAGTAAAATATTTCCTCCTGGAAAAGAGTGTTAGATTACTGGTAAGGGATTCAAGGCGAGGCAGAATGTACTACAGCCTCAGAAAACGTTACAAATCTGTTTGCCGAACTAAACACTATCAACGGGACAAAAAGGATATTTTTGGATCTTTTAACTTCACGTGGGTAGTCACGTTTACAGACATACATATACATAAATATGCAATCGAATGTATTCCATATAATGTAACTTTTTTAATGACATGGAAAGGTAAGTTAGCAGCTAAAATGTCTACGTCACTTGCGCAAGATGGTCGTGGTGATAATAAAGTGCCGGCAGTCTGAAGTACAGCCCAACATGTTTGAGACGCTGCCCCCAGACAGTCGTGTAGCTACACACTGTAACTATGTATCTACCTGGTAAGAGGCTCTTTGTCTAGAAAATTGGATCTGTGCTCCACTGCGTTAAACTGAGCCAGAATGCTTTCCATCCCCCCTCTCACAGGCGCTGCACAATTTTTACGAGTTTATCGCTCCCCATGATAATAATAATAATAACAATAGTAATTGTATATTTGTTCTACTCGCAGTAACGTCCAATGGCAATATATTCCAGTTCTAAAACTGGCTTACGTGGCGCGCCACTCGAGATCCAAGTTTGAGTTTGGATGCTACGCTTGATGCTTTTGTGGTTACTTCACTTGAAGAAAGAATGATGAACCTGTGTGGAGGACTGTCTTGCCTAGTCATGTTGATGATACTAAGTGCCCGTCTTTCACAGTCACTGATGAAACTGGAAGGGAAGTGACGTTTGATGAATACCTGGTGCATTTCACTCGTCGTCAAGGTACTGAGGTTTACAAACCCCTGTATGCTCTCAAAAAAAGATAACTCCCCGTTTAGCCTTGGTATCGTGGTTCGAGAAGTGAATCAAGTTATCTTAATTGATCAGTTTGCATTACCCTTTAAAAGTAATTTACCTCTTGTTTACGCAGAAGAATGTTGATGAAAGGCAGCTTTACTTTCCTCCTTCATGGTTAACTTTACCGCAGACTCGACTGTAGTGAACCTCACTTTTACGTTGCAGTTATTAAGCCTTCTGGTTATTACGATCAGGGCTCTTCCAAGTGTTACAGTCTCATCGCACTGTCGGTTAGGATAACCACAAACCTGTACTTCCAAATACTCTATAAATAAATTAACCAAAACAGCAGTGATAGCCACCACTACCCAATAGCCATTCCAATGGATTAAACTATCACAAAATGCAAAACAATTGAAATCACATAATTCTCTGGGATCAATAAAAAATAGAACAAGTAGACTAAAATTATCATCGGTCTTTGTACATAGTTGATGGTCTGGACAACAGGTGCCTTAATTATACTGTTTATGTGTTACTGAATTTTTTCAAATCATCTTTTAAAAACGAGCAATGCCAAGATCATCATTAAGTAGGATTTGAAGAAACGGCAATGCTTGGAATCTGCGGTAATTATTACATCACAGTTTTAACATCTTCGATATATTGGCAAGATAAATCTTGAACAGTCAGCACATTACCCTCAGGTGACAATTTGTTCATGGGGTCTCTATACTGGATTGACAAGGCCCTGGGGAGTGAAATGCCTCTTCGTTAAAGTTCCTTACCATTTACACACTTGTTGATATAATATACTTCTTAGAATGTTTGTCAATTCTCTCACTTATTGTAAAAAAAAAATAAAATATAATTATAAATTAATTGGTATGTGTAGTAATGACTTATACGATCAGGGTGTCTGGAATGCCGGCTGCTATCTTGGATTTTCACCGAGACCTGTCGCTAGCAGACATCACAGACAGGAAGTGGCAGGGATAAGTAAGTGCATGGCGGAGAGTTTCATCAGTCGGGTGGCAGTACTAATATCTGATCTGGTTGCACCAGCTACGGGAGGCCAGTTGGTGGGTGACAGTGAGTTGTTGGAGGCAGTGCTGGAGGCCATCTGGCACGTGTCCCTCCTCCCTGAGCACGTCACAGCCGTCAAGGATCTCAACGCCGTGCCTATCCTGGTGGCTCTTCTTCATCACGACGACGAAAGGGTCAGTATCATCTTTTCCACATATATTATTGCTAGTTTGCACTTGTAGGTACTGAGCTCCAGCTCCTGGAGTTTGTGCCACTCAAACTTTAATCGACTGGCGTGTTTGGGTGAGTCTGTGTTTGTATGATGTTGCAGATGCTGACAACTGTTATTTAGTCATCAGCAGATGTGTACTCATCTACTCACCTATTTGTGGTTGCAGGGGTCGAGGCACAGCTCCTGGCCCCGCCTCTTCACTGACCGCTACTAGGTCTTCTCTCCTCCTGCTTCTTGAGTTTTATCATACCTCGTCTTAAAACTATACATGGTTCCTGCCCCCACCACGTCACTTGCCAGACTATTTCACGTCCTGACAACACTATGACTATGGAAATAATTCCTAACATCTCCGACTCATCTGAGTCTTCAACTTCTAATTGTGACCCGTTGTTTCTGTGTCCCATCTCTGGAACATCCTGTCTCTGTCCACCTTGTCAATTCCTCACAGTATTTTGTATGTCGTTATCATGTCTCCCCTAACCCTCCTGTCCTCCAGTGTCGTCCAGGCCGATTCTTAGTGTGTGTGTGTGTGTGTGTGTGTGTGTGTGTGTGTGTGTGTGTGTGTGTGTTGTGTGTATTCACCTAGTTAAGGTTGCAGGGGTCGACTCATAGCTCCTGGCCCCGCCTCTTCACTGATCGCTACTAGGTCACTCTCCCTGAACCATGAGCTTTATCATACCTCTGCTCTTTAAAGCTATGAATGGATCCTGCCTCCACTACATCGCTTCCCAAATTATTCCACTTCCTGACTACTCTGGCTGAAGAAATACTTCCTAACATCCCTATGATTCATCTGTGTGTGTATGTGTGTATGTGTGTGTGTGTGTGTGTGTGTGTATGTGTGTGTGTTTTACTGCAGACAAGTAAGGCTTGACTTTAACCAGAGTCCCTAAGGTGTCCCTAAGGTATGTCAGGTTTAAGAGGCCCTCAGAAATCGAAAGTCGAAATATGAATAGTAAAGTAAGGGAAGGAAGGCAAAATACTTAGAGTTTATCATACCATCATATCGTGAAGCACTAAACTGTAGCATAGATGACTTATACCCAAGACCGGTCCTGAGTACAAGTGTGTAATTATATATTTGTAAACAGAAATATAGCCATGCAGGACCTATGAGAGGATGGGGGTTCAGCTGGTATATGGGCCCGAGGCCCCCCTGTAAAGGAGCCCCATTGAAATAGACGTTTAATTTTGATTTTTTCATTTGATTTTTATGGGTAATTTTAACTATTTTTTAGTTTATTTAGAAAAATAATTACGTAAAATTCACTTAGACTGGGGAGCCCCTCAGCTTGTTCCCAGAGACACCAAATCAGTCTTGTTCCGCTTTGCAAAATTTCTCTTGGAGGCCCTGGGCCCCATGCACGTCGTGTGCGATTTTCACTGCTTAATTTGTCACAAAATATCTGAGATATTTCAGTAGTTGCAACATTTATTATCACTTTTTTTGTCTCATTTTCATAGCCACGACTACATTTGTAAAAAAAAAATGCATTTTGGTGTCAATTTGTTGATATTTCGTCAGTTTATTTTCGTTTCCTCTTCTCTACCCGTTGATTGTTCCAATTAAATAACTTATCACATTATGTTTAATCACTGAAAATATGTGGACACTTTAGCTCTGTGGTGGAGGCATAACAAATGTACAACACAGGTATTGGGGAGAACTGGTTAGATAAGTACACTTTCAAGCATGAAACAACATATAGCAATCGGTACTTATCTGCTAACAGGATGTCCAGCAGCCTCTCCCTGGACATCCCTTTGGGGTGCCGTTCCAGATCCCACTGTGGCTGTGGATTAACAAGTGGGTTAGAAACCAATTTGCCCCAAAGGAGCGTATATCCAGCATTTCGCTATCTAATATGCTTATTGATACTTACGTAGTTTTGGGTGAATCACCCACGTATCACGAGATATATTGGTAATTCTAGTCAAATTTCACCCTTACCTATTAGCTGCAGCTAACGTAATTAGGTGTGGGTATGGCTGGATTAACCTGGGTATTGTAACTGACCCAATTTCTCTTCGTTTGTGGTATGGGAAGCATGACTCCGGTATTGATGTCTTGAGTAAGCTGCTACAGATCCTTAGTTATGTCCTCACGCGTTGATAGGGAGTACTTTGGTTAGTTTTTACGCGATAGGGTGATATCTTGTCCCTCTGTTCATAACACCTGAATGCATACCGCGACGCTACACTTGTCATGTATATACCACGGACGATACACTCATATTTCTTTTTAACAGTAGTTTTCCTAGTGGAGATTAACAGTATTTTAGAGTTTACTGTACAAAATTAGCGTTTTCTTTCTCTGTGGGAGATTTATGACATGTGTTGACGCTCTCATGTCTGAATTCAACCTAGCTTGTCGCCCTGCCCAGAGCCTACAAGTCATCCTCTGCACAAAAGAACTGCTGAGTTCAGCAGTTCTTTTGTGCAACAGTATTCAATGCAAGTGGGTAGATTTCTTGTTGTTTAGCTATAAACTAAAATTCACAATAGTTCCAACTTGTAGATAAAGTGGGGCACAGGTTTTCCCTTCATTTTTCTGCTAAGGTGAGAGAGTAATTACTCTCGTTTAAGCCTCTCTGTGTAGTTGATCAAGAACTCTAGCAAGGAGAGGAAGACGTGCCTTGCGACGCTATGGTACATACATATGTTCCTCATAATGCATTTTACGTGGAAAGAAGAATCCACTAGCCCCTTCTGGGGCTAAGTCTCTCAGAGGACTGAGGGGGGGGGGGCTATGAGGGCTGAGAGATACCCCTTTACTGGAGAAATTTCTCCACAGGTATTGACCAACGTGGTTGGGGCGCTAGGTGAGGTGGCTGGTGACGCTGACTGCTGCCTCACACTGCTGAATGGCGGTGGAGTGACCACACTGATCCAGTTGCTACGACGTACCTCAGACAGACTTCTCCTGAACGTGACGCGTGCCCTGGGCTCCTGCGCCGCCGAGGAGGACGCCTTGGCTGCTCTACTTCAGCAGGACGGACTGCGTCTCCTTTGGTCCCACCTCAAGAACCCCAACTGTCGCGTCCAGGCTTCTGCTGCCAACGCCATCTGTACTTGCTTACAGCAAGAGTCGGTAAGGAAGGTGTTCTTATCTGTCTCTTTATCACTGCACTATTGATCAGTGAAGGTATTCCAAATGCACTCTAAAATTTTAATGGGAGATGCCTAATTAAAAGTATTCCAAAGGCACTCTAAAAAGTGGGAGAAACCTAATTAATTATTGCTTATATTTACAACGATTTATTGCACTCGATCCTCTGAATGTGCTATAAAAATATTTAATTATTACATCGAGATCCAATTTACTATATACGTAGTATTTGCAGTAATTTGGAACGTCTTGGTATATTACACTTTAACCTTCAGTCTACACTTAACACTTGAGCTTAATATGAATAGTTCAACATTTGAGTGTGGTTGTCAGTGGTGAAAAAAAAAATGGCTGGTAGGGAGAAGCTCACCATCACAGAGGTGATGGTGAGCTTTGAGAAATCTATTTTCCGTATGGGAAAAGTGGCAGTCATTATAGTGCAACCTGGGAACGTTACCTGGAAGCTAGGTTTCAGTTCCCGTACAATCCCTACTTAGGAGAGGAATCTTATGACCTCTTCGATCCTTCGTGGATCACTCTCTTTAAGAGCTCTCTCCCTCCAAGACAGTGTGACTTGAAGGAAAAAACACCTTCACCATCATTCATTCACTGTACTTCACACCTCCAGGACTGCAACAACCCTACCTTTCCCTACCACTTCCAGGACTCAAGTCCTGCTAACCGGTTTCTTATAATCCCTTCATAACTTATGAACTGTTTGGTGGAAATATGTAATTTTTTAATATTTCTTTTGGTATTTAGACTCATATTACTTCAGCTAAATCAATAAAACTATAAGGATGTGTATGGTGGTGGGGGTGCAGGAGGGGTTGGCAGAGGTGGTGAGGAGCCTGGTGGGAGGCATCGAACTACTGGTGTCGTTACTGGAGAGTCAGAGCGAGTCCGTCCTCTCGGCCGTGTGCGCTGCCATCGCCAGGATCGCTAGAGACCCTCAGAATTTGGCCATCATGACAGACTACGGCGCTGTCACTTCTCTCTCCAGATTGGCTGTCAGGGTAGGCCAGAGAGAGAGAGAGAGAGAGAGAGAGAGAGAGAGAGAGAGAGAGAGAGAGAGAGAGAGAGAGAGAGAGAGGGGAGAGAGAGAGAGAGAGAGAGAGAGAGAGAGAGGGAGAGAGAGAGAGAGAGAGAGAGAGAGAGAGAGAGAGAGAGAGAGAGAGAGAGAGAGAGAACGAACGAACGAGCGAGCGAGAGAGAATAAATGCGTGTAATTACCTATTTATTACAATTACAGTTACAGGAGCTGAGAGTTAAGTTAGGTTAGGTTAGGTTAGGTAAGGTTTGTCAGGAAACAGGACAAATCTTTCCTGACGAGGATCTTAGGAATATGATGACCCACATCATACGACTAATATCTGACCGAGGTTTTCCTCTAGTTTACCGTGAGGACCGAGGAAATGAAGCTTAGCCCTCAGCCCGCTAGATGGTAATGCGGGCGGTAACACGCTAATGATTCCAGCGTGTCTGCCCCTCAAGGAAGGTTCCTTGATGGTGGTTAGGGGCTCTTGATCTAGGAAACTGGATCTGTGCTCCAGTTTCCTGAATTAACCCTGAATACCTTCCATTCCCCCCCAACAGGCGCTGTATAATCCTACGGGTTTAGCGCTTCCCCTTTATAATAATAATAATAATCCAGCGTGTCTGAACAACTAGAACCCCCAGTTTTTAAGGGCTTTTCCCTCACAATATTTTAGTGTCTAAATTAGCCTTTTAATAGGGAATTCTGTTGAAAGATTTTTTTAACGTCTAGATAAAAGCAGTCAATCCATCCATATTTTCCTTTAACAATTTCCGTGATTGTCTTATTAGCTAAATCGAATTGCTTACTTTATAGTAAGATAAGATAAGAGATAAGATTTCGTTCGGATTTTTAACCCCGGAGGGTTAGCCACCCAGGATAACCCAAGAAAGTCAGTGCGTCATCGAGGACTGTCTAACTTATTTCCATTGGGGTCCTTAATCTTGTCCCCCAGGATGCGACCCACACCAGTCGACTAACACCCAGGTACCTATTTGCTGCTAGGTGAACAGGACAACAGGTGTAAGGAAACGTGTCGAAATGTTTCCACCCGCCGGGAATCGAACCCGGGCCCTCCGTGTGTGAAGCGGAAGCTTTAGCCACCAGGCCACCGGGCCTCTTGAAATATTTTATCTATTTTCCTCTCGAGACTGATCCAATATGTCCAACCTGGTCTAATGTCAGTATCAAAAGTAATTTCTGAACTTTTCTTTACTTCACCATCCTCCATTGCAGTTGTCTGGAAATCAAATCATTTAGAAAAATCTTATAAACGCACTCTGAAAATTTCTCTTTATGTCACATTTTTAATTGTCCTTTATTAGGTTTGTGTGTGTGTGTGTGTGTGTGTGTGTGTGTGTGTGTGTGTGTGTATGTGTGTGTGTGTGTGTGTGTGTATGTATGTGTGTGTGTGTGTGTTGTGTGTGTGTGTGTGTGTGTGTGTGTGTGTGTGTATTGTCATTGTATAGGGAATGTCTAAAGAAATTATTTTTGTTGAAGTGGTATGTGGCTCTGTATTCAAACTTACGTATTTTAAATAAATTGCATAAATGTTTTCTTCTTCCTTTTCATTATGATTATTATTATGATTATTATTATTATTATTATTTGTCGTTAGTATTAGTAGTAATCATTACTGTAACAAGTGTAAATAGTTCTAATATCTGAATTTATATCGTGTACATTAATGCTTCAAGTAATTTATTTGATTCGGAACATAATAAGGTAGGGTGAAATTATTGTAGTCATAACCATAATATTTAAAGGGGCGGCCCGGTAAACCAGCGGAAGGCCTTAGTCAGATGACCAAAAGCTCCAGCTGCAGGTCATCATCTAAGACCCACGTCAGGAAACACTAGTCCCCTTTGTTGACATACCTTACCTAACCTAACCTTCGGAACGAAATAGTACCGAGTACTTTAAAAACTCTGACCACAACCAAATTTAAGTTTAGACCTAGCTAAATTAACACAAGTCCTGAGGAGCCTAACATGAGCATCGCTTTGATGTCACAGTCATCGACGTAAGTACATCAGAACTCAATTTAGTTAGATTTATTGTTTGACAGGGAATAAAACAAGTATTTTCTAACCTACAGCTGGAGCTTTTGGTCATGTGACCGAGGTTTTCCGCTGGCTTACCTGTCCACCTATTTAAAAATTATGGTTACGATTATAACCATTAAAGTAATTTCTCTTCAATATAGGTGTTCAAAGCCTCTAATTGCCGTATAACCATGCTGTTACTGTTGGTAACAGTACCATTCCCATATAACAGACAATTTTCCTGAAATGTGAACCATAGGGAAAAAGAAGCTGCCACTTTTGTCTCTTGGTCAGTTTCTCGGACGAATCAAATGCGTTTGAAATTCTTCTCCAAAGAAAGAAGCAAAAACATCGGTCAAAATTCAGGTTACCAGGTCAACGACCTGATACCTTAGAACCGTCTACACAAAATCTACAGTATCTTCTACGTTATTATATTAACTGTTGTTGCTTTTGCTATGATTAATAGTCGTTACTGTTTCGGTAGATATTATTAATTTATAAATATTAATTTGATTATTTATGCTAGTACTGTTTAATTTAATTTTGCTTTGGGAACCGGAGAATATTATAGGGGAAGTGTGTAAGGTAAGCCGTGTGTTCCAGTGAGTGGAGGCTAACTGGGTAACGTTACACAGGGTAATCTTGGGTAAATGGCCTTAATTAAGGTAGAACCTCCCTGATTACACCTATCTTAAAAGTAGTGTGTGATCTTCATGTTGACAGGGATTTCCCTCTGTAAGATGTCAAGGAGCGAATTGTAATGATGTGCTTAACAGGTGGCTGTACATTCATTATAACGTAAGGTTAAGTATATAAAGCTCATCATTCTGCATTATAGGGGTCTGGAAGAAATTCCCCTATAATCTTGCAAGATGATGATTCTAACTAAATCTGCTTTAAATAATATATCTTGTAATTTACAAAACGATTATAACATACATACTTAAAATTAATTTAGAGTTACGTGTAAATAATTTTATTGCAGGGTCAAGGAGAAAGGTAAATTATTTAAAGTTAATTCATAATTTTGGGATTATCTAAATAGATACATTAATAGAGTTCCGGTCAAAACATTCTATAGTGTACCGTCATCGTGTATTGAGTACACAATCTATTGTTAGTGTTTCCAGTTGAAAGTAACGTAGTGTTACCACCCTATGTTTTGAAGCTGTTACTCTATTCTTGTACTAAAGCATGTTTACTATATCGGTCATTGTGCTTTGCTCATCAATAAGTGTAGCACACTTGCCTTGTGTGTATGCTAGCGTGTGACCCTCCGTGACCTCGTCCCTCACAGCTGATGCCACCACCTGATACAGAGTTTCCTGCACAAGGTCAGCGTGGGAGAGCTCGAAGAAGCGGCCAGTCTCCGCACACGACTGACGTACTAACCAAGTTGTTTGCCTATGACTTCATAACTGTATTTTTTGGTTTTCCTTTCTAATATCTTGGACTTAATACAGTCTTTTACCTGTTATGATGTGCGTGTTTGTGTGTACTCTGTAGATCACCCGATTTTTTGGAGGTGAAATATATTTGATTAGAGTTGATGGTGCGAGTAGTGTTCATTTTTCCCTTGGCCCGAGAGGACAGGTGAGCAAGCCCGCAGGCCAGAGTACACTCCGGACAGTCACCTCTGGTTTCGGAAGGGCTTTTACATATTACTGGACTGACTACCAATGCAAATGTTCTTGTGTGAATACTCTTGTAAATATTATACGCAACTTGAATGTATAGCGAACTTGCTCATAAAAAAAACAAACTTGACAGTGAATGGTACGGTAGCTGGAACGTGTTTGCATGGCTATTCTTATATATTTTTGGATGCGTTGACTTCCTTGCCAACTCCAAGAGCGGAATTGTTCGCAACTGTCTGCCTCTCGTGTACTTTCATCTGTTACCAATAAGTAAACTGGATTGATTTTCTATCGGCATATACGTCCTGCTAAGCCAGCTTGAGGACACAGCTGGGGTTGATGTGGCTTGCTTTCTTGTAATGCCTTTGATCAGAGCAGACTGAGGATAAATACTCCTGTTTGACCCCCAGTCCCAGACAGGTTAATAAAACATTTCAAACATTTCCCTAGTGATTCAACAACTTGAGCACTAGACCAAATACTGTACAGTCCAATAACATTACCGTAGGTATTAACATATTTTATTTTCAATATTATATAAATTTTAATAAAAAATTTATTAATTTTAAAAAAATTTA